ATTGGATAATCTTTGGTATTTTTTTATTTAGGAATAACGTTTACTCGATTATTTCTTACGATGGAGAATTTTTTTTTGATGTTTTAAAAATAACTATGAAGCAAAGAATGACATGTGCACGAACCTGCTTTATTGACCATGCCCCCAGGGGTGTTAAATTTTCGTTCTTCTGGATGGTTTCCCTTTTAAAAAAATTATTCCCTATGCCTCTAAAAATCTCCGGTTTTTGACCGTTAGATTCGAAGTAGTATAACATGTAATCTTTGAAGTAGGTATATATACATATATATAGCATACGTCGGCAAGTAAATAGCTGAGATATAAAATTGCGTATACACAGTACATCTAGACATAAGTTTCATTAAATCCTTACAAAATATGCAGAATAATTAGTGCAACGCGTTGAGTCTTTTGTCTTAAATGAAGAAAAAGAACAAATGTTACAAAAGCTATTTGAAGAGTATCCTTTTATAGGAGCAAAGTAATTTGTTACCGTAATTTGTTAAATAAAAAATAATCTGTTGCCTTTAGATTTAATATAAAAAAAATAAAGAATATTATTTAATATTATTTCTTTTTGGCCAATCGATGAACTTTAACGTCTATTAGAAATCTATTTTATTATTGTAATAACTAAACGAAAAAAACCTTTTTTATTATTTAAGAACATCAATTCTAAAATAGATGAAAACATTTTTGCATGTTCATACAAAAAGAAATATCTTAAGATTTTATTACTACAGGTTCGTTTTTTGTTCAATGATAGATGTATTCTTTAATTAGCTTTATTACGATCAGTGCATATCTTTTTTATAATTACAGATTTTTTTTTCTTAACCTTGTACATCTCCTCCCAAATGAAATATGTATGACAACTATACATTTCTGAATAGTTCACTTCTATTTATAATCATAATTAGTACGTTTATCTGCAAGAGAAGCAATAACTACTACCTAACACATGAAACTAGATTTAATAATAGAAATTATTAAAAGTTGATTATTAAAGAGGGAAAGAGCAGTAGAGATTTGTAAACAGCGACTACAAAACTCGTATCATTGTAACAAAGGAAGATGAAAGACACATCTGATAAAGATATTTACTAATTCTCAAAGGGGATTTTCTTTCCCATGTAAATATCGTCTAAGTGACCAAAAGTTAACGAGATTTTTCATTTTGCAAGTTTATTAAAATAATAGATACAAGAAAGAGTGAAAGTAACGTAAATAGGGAGAATGATACTTCTGGGATTTAAAATTTTCAGCCTTTAACGATTCGTTTATACAGATTAAAATTATACTGTTTTCTCTATTTATTGTAGACTTAAAATAAATTCTATTTTTATTTTTCAATTTGGTTGTTTTCCTAAAATAAATAGGCCATAAAGAAGAACGAAATGGTCAGCTCATGACGCTAATGACTACCCCAATAAACATTTTGACAGATTTTGATAAGAAATCTTAGAAAATACGGCCAAACACTCTTCATAATTTATACGAACAATTAGGCACTTTCTAACAAACTTTCACCCTTTTAATATACCTTTAAGGTGCATGGGTTAAGTAAACATTGTAATAAAATTTCATAGATAAAAGACTAGCAGGAAAGTTTTAATATTTATAGAAAGAAAAGTACAGTCTACTGTCAACCTGGTGAATAATTTACTATTATGGTACTTAATCACTTTAACCTTATCTTGTTGTGGATATTTTTAAAGACAGGCGTCAAAGTGTGTAAATCTCACAAAATGACTTTTAACAATAGAAAAAGAACCCTGTTTTCTGCCCCAATTTTATACCCGATCAAGTATCGAGATACGCTTTTTTTTTTCCATCTTCCATACAAGATCTCCTTTCCTTTTTAACATTTTTCAATTCTCCTTCCTCCTTCTCCTAATTATCGTTACCATGTAATTTCTGGGCGCCTCAAGTTATATAATAATCATTTAAATGTAGAAAATTTTTGCTAATACTAAAAATTACATTGTTAATTAACTAATAAAGAGGAAATCTATTAAATTATACGTCGTTGCGTCTTTGGCAGAATTATTAAAAATCTATAGTATAGAGTTAAAAGTTCAGATTTTTACATAAACAACTGCATTATATTGGTTATTTGCAGTGACACATGCAGTTTTTTACCCATTAACTTAATCTACTGTCACCAATAATCAAATTTTTCGCCATACACACCATCTCTATTCATTACGTAACATACTTGATTGATGTTCCGAAAGCAATCAAGACACAAAACCGTCTCAATCTTATATATGAATGATGTATAATAAAATTTCATTCATAGTTTGTAAAGGGAAATATAGAACAACACATTCGACGTGTCATTCAAATAGATAATTATACTATTAAATCTAATAGAAATATTCAAGTAACTACACATTATTGCGTGATATCTTTGTAATTCTATATTTGCATTCTTTGCTATTTTATCTAATATACCTAGATTAATTTCATTCGTAACTTAAAGCTTTGCGAATAAAATTAATTTTTAAAATATACTAAACTACTTTTTTCTTTTCTTCCTTCTTTTTTATTCAACTCTCGCTAAATAGCTATTTTATAAATCCATTATTAATCCTTTGATGATGTCATATCCGTACTTAAATCTTCCATTACAAGTCCATTACACTTAAACAGATGACGTCATGAACAGATATCTGTAAGAAGAAAATGAATGTAGAAAAAGTGAGTAATAAGTGAGTAAAATATGAAATTAATATGATAGCGATTTCTGTATAAAATCATTGTTAGTAAAGAAGTAAGATTACGTTTAAAAAGCTTACAAAAACTTAAGAAGGAAACGATTTTTAAAATGACAGATTGACTACTTTTCAACAACCAATAGCGTACACAATAGTAAATAGAAGAAAAGTGACCAAGTGACCAACGTATATACAATTCGCCAGTGTAAACATGGCAGTAAAAGTGTATAGAAGATAGATTTCTCAGCCAACACTACTGTGCAAATACGCCTTTGAAATTGTACAATTGCTAAGATTGACTCGATTTTGGCTTCGGAATTCCTATGCCTACTATTCGGTCAACTTTAAAGGGTTTACGATATTTTATTCAACTTATGTAAAATTTACTAGGTAAATAATACCTTAATGTAATATGATCCATTATTACATTTCTTATACTTGCAATTCTTCAATATTCATCTTTAAACCAAATAATATTAAATATACAATCTATCTTCGAGTCCTCCATTTACTTGGTATATATAGTCCAAATAAATAGTATATTATATAAAATTATTTATACTCACCTATGTCTTATGTTTACAAGATAATTCTAGCTTTAATAATATAAAATAAGCATAATTATTTTTACTACAAACGTAAATACGTTTCCTTTTTAATCAACCATATAAAAATAAAGAAACTATCTTTTACTGTTTTACTGTAAGATTTAAAAGAAGATAAATGAAGAAAAGAGATTCTTTATATTCCAAATAATTAAAAGTAAATCTTACAACTAGTATTTAAATTAATAGAATAACATATCTACAGTACTATATTTATAATTTATATAGCACGCATGTGTGTAGATTATACTAACTCCTCTTATACAGTATATATATATATATATATATACTATACAGTATATTGTATATAAATGTATGTATAGTATTTATATGCGTAAAATCGTTCTGGCTTTTCCTTTTGACTCTTCTCTCCGTATGTTTTCCTATTTGATCTGAAGATCAGCAACGATAATCGGGAGGTCTTTTTTTATTTGTTTATCAGTATGGTTAAAGGTTTGTTTACATTGCTAATATTTGAATGAGTATGGCAGGCGATCAATAAGGGACAGCGTCTAGTTTGGGTGGATGATTTTTCGTGATAAACAATACAAAGTAAGAGAATCTTCTATTTGCCAGCCATCAGATTTACGTAGACATGTTAACGATCTGAAAAGATAGGGAATTAGATATTATTCTCATTTATACAAATGAGCATTGATATAATATTTTTAGCAAAAAGTATCAACACAATATACATTATATGTAGAATGAATACTATTTGTATATATATTTATATACAGATACAATATAAATATCATCTTTATGTAGTAAAAATTCTCTATAATCTAATAAGACATTTCCGTTTTCGGATATCATTGATCGGCATCTTAAACCTTTGATCTGAAAATTTCATATTTCAGAGAAATAACAAAATCAAATGGAATATTCAAATTTTTTTATCTTAATTGATATTTTTTATCGTTTAATGAATATTTATTGATAAATTTATTTAATAATAAAAAAAAACACACACCAACCCTCTCTTTTTATTAGGTACGTGCTAAAGGATTGATTGTCAAACATCCTTATACAGTTTGTGCTCATAAATAGGGTTAATTCAATAAAGATCTCATTATTTAAACAAATTTATAATAAAATAGTGGCGGAATCAGCTTATTGGACATAATTCTTTTTGAATTGAACAGTAGATGAATTGAATATTCAATAAATATTGTTTATTTCCAAAGTTTCACAAAAAAATAATCGTCAACGTGTTCTAACGAATAGAAATCTTAGAGCAGAAGAAATTTGTTTATAGTAGAAAGTTAGCTATAAGTTTGAGCCGGTAGATTTATCAAAGGATTTCTAGAAGTGGAACCACACTAATGTGCAGAAATGTTTGCAAATTGTCCCATCGGCAAAATTACGGGTCACCTCTTGTTTATTTACGCATATAGAGGTCTTCCAACTTGCCAGCGATCCCACCAACTACGAAAAGCTTGGTAAATTAAATAAAATCGCTAATTTCACAATCTGAATCCTCATCCTTTGGACCAGCGCAATTCATCTTGACAGTCGCTAACATAAACACGGCACGTTAATTACAGCCTATCTACTCTGATGAGCCGTAATGAATAATCCAAAGTGTCCCATAGAACCATTAACGATCGGTCATGTGACTGGGCGGAGACTGTGCTGATTGGCCGACTATGGTGGTGGCGTTCGAGCCACCGTTCAGACGCTTCCCGAGCCGGATTACGGCAAGACGGACTCTACTTCTCGTTGGCACATCTGGTTGATTATAGTTAATTAAGGGTCATCGGGTCAAAAGTTTGAAGAACAAAGAGGACGTTTCTTCATCGTTAATTTAGACAATTTCCTCCCTTTTCACGGCATCAAAGAAAATGTACGGATTGCTTCTACAGATTTTCGTCCTCAATCTGGTTTCAACATCTGAGACAGACTTTGTAGGCGTGTCGATTCAAGAGAATATACCAGCTGAGGAGTTCATATTGAATGTTGAAAATGAAGGGAAAATAAGAGATATTCCAAAATATAGAAGGGATGATAAAAGACAGTATACGCTAATAGTAGAGGATAAAAGAAAAAAGGATTATTTTAAAATAGAAGAAACCACTGGTATTCTACGAACGAAATCTAGAATCGATAGAGAAGAGACATGTGCAATGCATGTTCAATGCAATGTAAGTATTTACTTATTAAAACATCTCTATGTTTCCCTAAGAGTTCTCTACTACGCCTATTAACAACCGAATCAATAAATCTTCTAATACAACAATTAAGTGATTCGGGTTTACCTTTTAAGTTTACCTTTCTATTTAAGACTAAGAAAATAGTTAGTCCAGCTACAAATCGGTTAACAATTGACTTAATCTTTTGTATCATACGACTAGCTTTTAATAAATAAATAATATTATCTACTTTAACATTGACAACAAAAGCAAACAAAACTTATCCAGATCGTTAAAGGCACCCTAATTACTGTTGTCTAACTAGTTAGTTGCGCTAGATCACGAGTTACTCATTAAGACGTCTAACTGAGCGTCCTTTTGTCCAATAATTGGTGGTTAGACAATCCATTTCTACTTCTATTTGGAACTTTTCAAAAGTAATTACCGTAGAACTTTAAACTTGTAAAGTTAACTTATATAATAACAATAGAATATTGTGAAAAAGCACCAAGTAAACATTACTATAAGAGTATAAAAACTTAGATGGGTAGAACGTAAGGTTCTTCTATAATCATAAAGTCGTTTAAACGCTTAAGCCTATAATTTGAGTTCCCTTTGATGTCCACTAAGGGTTAGAAATTTTGTTGAAGAGGTAAGAATTGAATTTCCAAGTTCAAAAAAAATAAAATCCCTCTTCTCATACAATTCCATTTCCAAATTGATTCGATTTTTTAAAGCTCCGATGAGAAAAATAACAATATAAACAAGCACTTAATTTTTTTTAGTGAAAAAATCTATACAGGTACAGAGATATCAAGAAATGACTAATAATACTTGAATAAGAAGAGTAGATATATATATTTTATATATAGGAAGTTTAATGTACAGTTTTGCCTATTTTTTTATTATTAACAAAATTTATCTTCACCCTGAAAACGATTTTCAATAGGCAAATATTCAAGTGACTTGAATTGTGGTGTAGCGCTTTTTTTCTTTCTCTTCATCGAATTTAGCATTAACAAAATATTTTTTCATTTCTATTATCTTCTTTTTTTTCTTTAACCATAAAACTAGCAATCTTCTTTTATTTGATTATCAATGGAAATAAATACGAATATAGGCCCATTGCTTGAGTGTTGACCGTTTACGCTCTTTAAACTCCTAATCCTCTATATAATCCCCCCAACTAAGTATATTCTCCAAGTAGTTTTGAGTGGGTTAAAAAATATTTTTGTTGTGCAGACTGCTCTTAAGTACGTCTGTCGAATTGGAGTCCCCAAGCGGAAACGTTTAACTAGCATTTTTTTTGGAAAAGGTCACGTGATTTCTTAGCATGAGCAGATATCTTATTATTACATTTGAAAAAACATTTTATCTTCATGTCGTTTTTTTTTTCATAAAAAAGACAGCATTATTTTGCTCGATTAATGCGGAAAAGAAACGCTTTCAGCTTATTCAAAACACGTTTACCAATTAAATTCGGGGTAATTTATCATTGTCAGAGTATTTGTTGTGAAAAGCTATCAAGTATGAGGTGCTAAATTGCGAGTGGTCGTTGAAGGTTATCCTTAACATCACGTGACTCTTTAATACGCGTTCAAACACTGTTCAAGAGCCTAGAAAATATTATGCAAGATATATAACCTTTAAAGAGATTAGCGAACAATAAAGAGCAATACATAATTTATGCAAATTATGGTTTGTTTACAAATATCTTAGATAAAGACAAACAATGAACAGATGAGCGTTTTAATTTCAATTTAAACCACAGAAAATGACCGTATTGCATGAAGAGTTCAATTACTCGACAATTGCATTCTCCCTTTCCTTTATTCTATTGTCCTATCAGACGGTGTTACCAAATGATAGACGTCGAAGGACTCGTAATTTAGTGCACTTGCTATCCTTTTATTACATCTCTTAGAGAAATGAGAGGCTTTTTAATTAAAAAAAATTCAATCATTGGAATCATAGGCATTGAATACACAGATCAATCGAAAAAGTCAAAAAAAATCAATAGTTTGTACGCTATTACAGTAGATTTGTAAGAGAGAAGTTAAAAGCTTCGTGATTTATGCTGTTTACGGTTGATTATAGAAAATGCTAATAATTAATAATATTAATCTTTCAATTTATGTTATAAATGTGAGAATTGCCTGCCTTTAAATCACTCTATCTACTCAATCAGTAAAAAAACCGGTTTAGTATTTAGTATTTATATCATAAACGAATATATATATATATATATATATATATATAGTGTACAGTATTTTGAAAAGATACTTTAACAACCAATATTCAGACATGCTTACTTTATTATTCGCCTTCTCTTCTATAACTTTTGACAAACTGATTAGAATGATTCAATTAATTCCAAAGGAAATTGATAAGGAAGAACGCTATGCTATTTAAATACAGCGACAAATTGAGTCTTTGTTCTTTATTCTTTCTTTTCATATTCCGATGCTCTTCTTCTCTCTCTTCTCTCTTTCTCTCTCTCCTCTGAATTCTCTTTCTTTATTATATAAAATCGATATAATAGTATTTAATAAATATAAAACAAACTATGTAACAAAAAAAAGGACAAAGAAGATCCTATATCGTATCTTATTAATTTTTAAAAAAGAAATTAGGTTAAAATAGTAATAATAATAATGATAAAAGAGTAAATTTATACAAGGACGAAGAGCAACCTGTTGTTATTCAATTACGTGTCTTTTCTATTCAATATTTTATATCACCTGTTCAATTCAGAGTTAAAGTCGTATATCACACAACTGAAAAGAACAGTACTTGATTCTAAATTTTTTTCTATCTATAACAAAAAGCATTAATCATTATGAATAAAATATCAAAAATAAATAATTTTGAACGTTAGAGGAGCGTCATTCAATAGTTTTTGTAAAAGAGTGTATATGCTTTCTTTACACGTGAGCCCCTCTTTATTATTATTGTTGTTATTATTATTAGTGCATGAAAAAGGGAGGGTTAGTAGTTAGTTTGAGGAGTATATCTAAAAACTTCAAACGTTTCCAGTTTATTTAATTTTAAGGTTTGTTTAGATAATTGATCTTCGTAGATAACTAAAAAGTACAATATCAACTAAAGAAAACATTATTTTGTGCACATTTAGTTGTAAGTTGGTTTTATTTTTTTTTCTTTGTATTTTGTTTCTAAAAATAAAGTCTCTTTTTCATCATGAAAGAGAAAGAATAACTTGCGTTTATTCTTTAATAAATTGTATATATATAGTATTATTTATCAGAACAACAAAATTTAATTAATTATTTAATAGTCAATAATATATATATATATATATTCATAAACGTGTACAGTATGTTCAATATTATTTCACTTTTGTATATCTAAAAGTAGCATACTTTTAGCATTTGAAATTGGTCTGCTAAGCTTCTTGTAACATTTTTAGAAAGGTAAAGTCAAATGTTTCCAATAAAATTCTAAATAATCAGATTAATTCTGATTGGTTAGGTAGTTGGACTTAGCGATTGACAATTGGTTTTTTTCTTCGGTTGTTACTTTATAATTTAAGCAGAAGTGCGCATATGTTTGCTTTAAATAGTCACTACATACATCAATTATTGATATAGGAGTATGCAGACTTATTTTAACAGTATACTGTAAAAGACTAGCTCTGTATTTGTATTTAACATCTTTATTAGTGTATATATATATTCGTATATATAAATTTATATAGATATTAGTACATATATAAATATATATATGCTTACAAACGAGACGAATTAATTCGATAGAGAGAGAGAAAGCGAGAGCGAGCAAGAAAGTGTATGAGACAGATTGCCAGTCAATCTGCCTAGATCTTTTGATATATTCTTTTCAATAAGAATAACGCAGCTTTACGTAATAAGTTGACGCTTTTAAACTAGTATTGAATAAGTACATCGCACCCTTGATGCTAAAAAAGAAATTTCTTTCGCATCACTGATCATCATAATCCGTATAAAAACATAATCTGAGCGTAATTCACTTCGGAAAGCATCGAAACATTACGTGATTCACGTTTTCCAACACTTTTTTCTGCTCGTGAAAAGTTCGTAACGATAACAGATTTACTATTGTTCATAATCACACTCTTTATTGTAAGAACAATAAGAGCCGTTAGGCTGTCAACCTTCAACAACGACGCCTCATTAGTTAAGAGAAATATAACAACCTTTACTTTTTCCTCGACAGGTTAAACTCGATGTCCTCGTTCAGCAAGTTTCAAGGACCAACAAAGCAGTGATTATTCTAGCTTCCATAGAGATTGTTATCAATATTATAGACGCAAACGATTTTGCGCCAATCTTTCAACCATCCGAGATAACTGTCGAATTTCTGGAATCGGATCCTATTAATTCGACGAAGCTTATCAACTCGGGTATAGATCGCGATTCTCCGGAGTTCGGGATTAAATCCTACAGCATACAAACATCCGGTCCTTTTCGTCTTCGTGCAAGGCAATTAGCACCTAGTGAATGGCAAACTGAGCTAATAGTAAATGGTATTCTTGATCGTGAGAAAAAGTCTGAATATGCGGCAACAGTCACTGCAACGGATGACAAATACATTGGATCTTTAAGAATAAAAATAAGAATCTTAGATGCTAATGATCACGAACCAGTCTTTCAAAAGTATGTTTTTTGTTTTTATACTATATTTTTATTAGGAAATAAGAAGGCATAGAAGGGTAGAATGAGGGCTATAAAAGATAAAATGAGAGGCTATTTATAGATATCAATTTTTAAGGGAAAAAAGTAATAAAGTGTGAAAGACATGAATAATTTCATCAGTGAAGTAATAAAACCAGCAATACAGCATAGTATTGTTTTGTTACATTTCATATATTGATTAGGAGAATAATTATTATATTTATTATTAATAGTAACGTTTGCCTATTTGTTGATTTGTTTAATAATTGTCATTAAATTTCACCTTGAATTAATTAAAATTCAATTTTTAATTAGTCGAAATTATAATTTGTTTTAGAATTTAAGTTGATTTACATTTTATTCTTTAATTCTTTTTATAAAACAGATCTCATTACCAAGGCCGAGTTCTTGAAACTGCTGAAAAAAACCAGGTTATTCTTACAGTAAGGGCAACTGACAAAGACGTCGGAAAGAATAAGGACATAAAGTATCGTACCAAATTCGACAATCAATTATTTGGCGTCCGAGCTAAAACTGGCCAAGTTTACGTTAACGGCCCCTTAGACTACGAAACCGAATCTCGTTACCAATTAACGATTCTAGCTGAAGACGGTGGCCAAACGCCAAGAACAGCCGAATGTAGCATTACTATTGATGTATTGGACGTAAATGATCATCAACCGGAAATTACCGTAACCAATTTGGGCTCAAACCCCTCAGATTTAAATATTGATGAAGGAAGTAGTGCGGACACATTTATTGCATATATTATAGCTACCGATAAGGATTCGGGAAAAAATGGCACTGTTGAATGCCAATTGATAGATTCACAAAGCTATTTTAAATTAACACCTTTCAAAGAAAATCAATATACTTTATATACGACGAATCGAGCATACATAGATAGAGAGTTGAAGGATTCTTATCAATTATCAATTGAGTGTACAGATCTGGGAAGAGAGCCTTTGAAGAAATTGGAAAAAATTCAGATAAGAGTTAATGATATCAATGATCACGATCCGAAATTTGATAGTTCGGCTTATACAAAGACGATAATGGAAACGAACGAAAAAAATGTTAAAGTTTTTACCATTCAAGCAGAGGATGAAGATATTGGCGACAATGGTGCAATTACATACAGCTTAAAGCAAACAGGATACACTTTTGCTATTCACCCTACTAGGGGAGAAATAACGGCATTAACAATTCTAGACAGGGAAAAATCACCTCAGTACCATCTTACTATTGTTGCTCAAGATAAGGGTAAACCACCAAGATCGTCGGAAGCCACTCTAACTATCAAGTTACAAGACATAAATGATAATAGGCCAATTTTTACTGCTTCCGAATACGGATTAAGCGCAAAGGAAAATCAGACTATTGGGACAAACTTATCGCCTTCCCTTTTGGCTGACGATGTAGATTTGCATCCTAATAATATTGTTGTATATTCAATTGTGGAAGAATACGGAACGAGCTATAAATATTTTAAAATAGATAGACATACTGGTCAACTTAAAACCGCGGCTGTTCTCGATAGAGAAGCGCAAGAGGAACACATACTGGTAGTTCAGGCTTCAAACGAAGATTATGATCGTCTCAAGTCGACGTGCCGTGTAATAATAACGGTGACAGATATAAACGATAATCCCCCTAGGATTATCTATCCGACAGAGAAAAATAACACGGTCTACCTCTCAAATAAGACGCCGAACCCTTATAGAATCGGAAGGATCATAGCAGACGATGCGGACAAGGGAGAGAATTCTAGATTAAGCTATAGTTTAAACGCCGAATCAGCTTATTTCCGCCTTGACCCTGAGACAGGGGTAATCTGGACTAGAAATCGTTTGGACTCCATCGATTATAAACTTTTTTCGATATTAGTAACGGTTAGGGATAACGGAGATCAGCCGAGGAGAGTTTCAACACATATTAATCTTGTGGTTAATAAATCCATTCCGTTCACGTTCGCCTCCTCCAATTTGGTATCCAACGGTAATCTGACGATAGTCATTATTGTTGCCAGCGTGTCTTTCGTCATTGCCGTCCTGCTTATAGCATCTATTGTATACGTAAGACGTCAAAGTTCTGGCTCTCATTTAGATTCTGCAAAGTACAATTGTAGAACAGAAACTCAGAAAATGCTCAAGGCTAAAGTCGCCGTAGAAACGAATGAGATTCTGGCTGACAAGACTGAAGTTTGCGATAATACAGCCAATTATGATAAAATTAAACCTGAAGCAGACTTTATATTGGATGTGAGCAGTTTACAAACGAATTGGAAGCAAATTGGCGAACAGGTGAGTGCGGATTATTGTCAATTCTTTTTTAAGCTGATTTTCATCATCAATTAATTTTAGGCCTTGATTAAAAATCAGAGTGGCCATTTACTCTCTTACCTAAACCCCTTTACGCGTTTCAACTATTTTTTATCCATAGCCTGATTAATTCAATTTACTCAACCATTCGATCTCAGTCAAATTTTTTCCTTTATTCCATTCATTAAATACATCAGTGATGTAGACTAAACACACTAAATCGTTTTTTTAAACAATTTGAGGTTGATCCTTTCATTCATTTTGACAGTTGTGTTGTTGAATTGTTAGCTTAGCCTTAAATCTTCTAGAAAATGACTAAAATCTCTAAATATGCATAAGGGTATCAAATTTCAGATTTCATTAAATCGATTACAGAATTAACGGCCTTTTCTCATTTTAAATATCAGGTTTCCAGTCACGGCTGTCAGAATTAATTGTATTAAAGGCTCAATTATATCTAGCTTACGAATCCTTTATTCCCAGCTTAAATCATTTGGAGAATTGCGATGAAATATTTTCACCTTCCTCCTTTCCTTTTACTTCACCCGTAAACAGATCTCGACAAGTACGCTATCTGTTTATGTCTACAGTTTTTCGTCGTTTTGTATATCAAGCATTGTTGCAAAGTTCTATTCTTAAAGACAGCCCACGGCGCTATTCTTTTGTGTCTAAAATCATCTTTTCAGGGAAAACCGGGATAAATTAAGAATTTTCCCCCTGATTAATTAATCAATTAGCCGATTATTTGTCTACTCGCAGAGAAAGAAAAAAGACTTTACAATATGTTAATAGAGATCAGATCTGTGCTGGTATATCTAGTTTCAAATTAGTGAGATTATACAATACGGAATTAATTAGGGTTGATATTAGTCTTATATTTAGGAGATTTTTGCAGTAGGGCAGTACTAAAACTGTCGAATGATTTTCAGCGTATATAGTGTATAAAGTTTCAAATTAGTTGGGAAACACAGGAAGCCAAAATATTTTAGACCTTTAGGCTTTAATTAGGGGAAGCGTTCTATCTCTTGTAAACCTAACAACCTCTCCACTCTAGCATAATGAGGAATTACTGGTGGCTTTAAATGCTCTAACACTATACACGTACCTGTACGTGAAGGTGTATTCTAAAAAGGGATGAAAAGCTATCGATTTCATCCCTTGATCAAATATGTGTTATAGCAATATACTCTCTCCCTGATAAAGCAAGCATACATGTCCATAGATAAATATAACTAAAGGATTCTGTATTGGATTGAATGAATAATTTAAATTCAATTATTAACAATATACTGAAATTTATAGAGTACTTTTCAATAGCTGACAAGTTTACTTTTCTATCTCTTTCCTCCAGCCCTTTCCTAATGCTTAGTGTCACTAGCTGTGGCCGTTGTTGTCATCTCTCTCTCTCTCTCTCTCTCTCTGTATCCATGCATAAATCTCTTTCAGGATTCAAAAATTAAATCAAACTATAATTTGATGCTATTAACCATCATTAACCGATCTAGGGATAAAATAAATAGTATCTATTATATATACACAACATAGTAAAACTATTAATATACATACATATTGTTTACATACAAAGTATATAAATCAAAACTTGCCTTTCTTTTGAAATTTTCCCTTTATAAACATTCTTTTCATGTACTATAAACTAAGATTAGCTAGGGGAATAAAGGAAAGGAATACCGGTTACACTAAGTAAATTACTGTTTGTCAATTAGTTATACCCATGGAGATTTAAGCCTTGTTAAATGAATGAGTAAAAGTAGTAGATTGTAAGGAATTTGAGAAACTTATATAGCGTCTCATACTTTCTTGACGTTATTATTTTCTTTCATTCGTTACGAAAACGCCAAAGGCGAAATAGAGCGTGACTATAAACATTGGCTAGAAACAATCGAATCTCCTCAAGTCTAACCAAATGGAAAATAAAAGCATAATAAAAAGAATGGAAAACATTGGAGGGAAAACAATTATGATAATATCCCTCTATAACGTAAAATTACCGATCTACTACTTCTTGTATCTGGATTAATATTGAAAGAGCATCATACAAGAGTATAGTAATGAAATCAAGGAAAAACACAAGACAATTACTAGATCTAGTGAGAATTCCAGGGAGATAAAGATTTGATTAGCATGGTGACCGATTCGATCACTTTGACGTTTTATAGTCGAAAAGAGAAGCGATCAGGCAGCCAGCTAATTCAACTGCATACGCCTCGAACGCAATATAGCTCGCGTTATTTATTTATTTACTATCGCATCACTGGCCAAACAGCTGAGCCATTATGCCTTTGCATATACGCACATATACATATGTATTTTCACAGACTTAGACACTGTGCATATATTTATACTTGATCCCAAGTGTTTTACAGTTTTGCAAACTTACTGCTTCATAAACTAATTTTGCAGTAAACGTTTTTCCTTTCCTCTCTCGCTCACTCACCTACTCTTGCACTCTCTCCTTTCCTCTGCTCTTCACTTCCAATAATTATCTTATTTTCCTGACCGTTTCGACTTTCGCCAATTAGGTTTTTTTAAAGGTTTGCAATTGATTAGTGAGCCGATGTGTAAAATTAACTTTTTGTTTATTTGTTTGCTTACTCTTCCGGTCTTCCTTTAATTCCCTTAACTATTTTTTAATATGTAGAAACTATTTAAATGAAGGAAAAAGCAAGTTATTTATTTTCCCTTTCTTTCTCTCCTTTCTTTTCTTAAAAGAAAGAAAGAATTTTTTCCTTTCATTTTCCTTCCGGAATTTCTATCGTCACTCCGTTTCCTCCTTTCGCCTCTCTCCGCCCCTTTTCAATCTTCACCCATTTTCTTTTCTTTAGCATACACCACCCACCCGTCCCTGTCATTCTGTCATGTTTACTCAGTAAGATTACAAAGTATTGACCGATTTCATTCGGTCGAAACCCGTCAATTTTAGCATGAAATTGAAAATGCTGCCGTTCAAAGCCATATAGAATTTCATCGCCCCGAAGCGAAGATCAACAAAACCGCCCGTTTGGCAACTGTCAAAAAAACAACGACATTGCTCCTTTTTTCATTACAATTCCCTTAAATAACCAATTTTTTTTTGTCTTTACCCAAAAAATAAGTAAAAAGTAAAATATGGAGAAAGATTCAATTTGCAAAAAAGATTAAATAAGCACCTGTTTACCGACTATTGCATCTGGTTGGTTTAATTTCATATAAATCACTAACCTCGCATTCCGTTCAACGTCTTCCCCATTAAATTTGCATATGAATGACAATCTTTCCCTAAATGACTCAGTAATGACTACGCTTCACTAATGAAATTCCAGCTATGCTAATAACCGCGCCTCTATTATAGGAAAACGTAACGACTTTAACGAACCGGCGTCCCACAGTAGAATTTTTATTATTTTATTCCGTTTCCAAGACTACGTGACGCCTGTCCGAGTTTGTCACCATGACCACTCATCTTTACTCTCATTATATATCACCTAGTTTACTTTTTCTTTTTATGTCTTACTTCGTGTCCTCGTTTTATCCTAAATTAATTTCTTCATTCCTCAAAAAGTATACAACTAGCTATAATTAGAGTAGCGCAGGTGTTGGCAAACAAAGAATCGTTTTGCAATGTACTAGATATTTAGTTTGAAATCCAATACTAAATAATTATAGCAGTCTTGAGGCAATTTCAATGCAGGTTTGATACGATCAAGCGAGTCGAGAGCACTACTATTTGCTATATTACGGTTATTGAAATCGCTTACGGGTTATAAAAACTTTCCATACAAATTCTACTCTTACTTTTATCATTGCTACTAATGGAAACAGCTTTTTTCTCATTTTCTTCTTCTTACTCCTCACTTAAAAAAAAACGATTAGCTTAACTGCGAGAGACCTTCTTTCTTTTCTCCACCTTTCTTAGACAGGCTATAAAGAATTTAAGCCTACTGGAGTGAACACGCTCGTGTCACCTGTCGTTTTTGTAGGCGGGGGTCCTAAAATATACATGCACGCACTGCTGTGTTTGATAACAAGTCCAGCTCGTAGACTGAACTATAAACAACAGGGAGTGAGTTGGAAGGTTTTATTAAAAAACAGTAAGAGGACTCTCTTTCACCGTTCAACGCCAATCCTTTCTCTCTTTCATAAAATCTCAAACTCTTTTGCACTTTGACATTAGATGTGTTACAAATTAAGCGTTCAAGTGCTATAATCGAGCGGCATTATTACAAAGTACAAGCTCCTTGTCGCCATCATCATTGCTCCTACCACCAAAGGCAGAAGTGTCTGGCAGTCATTTTTCATATTGTTCGTCCCCTTACCGCCTTATTACTTTCTTAATTTATTTTTAAAACACCATTATTCATTGTCTTCCAAGAAACCGTACAAATTTTTTTCTCCTAAGCAGATGCCAAAATTCGATTTTTATCCAAAATTAATTGTTTAAAGTAGCGTATACGTAGTTCAAAGAAAAAAAGGTAATTTAGAGCGTTTAATGAGCGCCTTTGTTGGAGTGACCTCTGTACTAGTCGATTTCCCTTAACATGTACAATTAGATTAACGAGAAATTCATCCACTCACAAGTAGCCTATATTTGCTGATATTTCACCTCATTTTCATCTCTTCTACTCTAAAGAAAGGCGAATAAAATAGGAAAACAATATCTAGATTTAGAATCAGGTATAAGAACTGCGTGTCAAGAGTAATTTGATCGCTTTTATACGGTTGTTGAAGTCGCTTTTCAAAAGTACCTTCCTTCCCTCTCATTCTTATGCTCCTTTCATTTATACTATAGAAGATATTTCTTATATATATATATATATATATATATATACAGCATTCTCTATATATTCAAACATAATATATATAATTCATAAAATATCTAAGAACGTAAAAAAAAAAGAAATAAAGGAAAAAGAGAGAAAGAATCTTTAACTGATGGATTATTATGCGGGCTCCAAAGTTAATAGAAGGGTGAAATGTTTCTTTTGTTGTTGAAGAATTTCACAACGTCGTTCAACCAATAAAACAGTAATTGATAAATTTATAAAAAGTATTCAAAACTTTTATAATATTATTCTTCGTTTTTTTTATTAAAAAAAAATATTTAGACAAGTTAAAGAAAAAAAAATTCAATATTTAGCTAAGGAAGAAATTTTTAACAAGTTAATTTAATTTTTCTCTTTTTTTCTTATGCGATTTATTCAGAATTTTTCTTACTAAAAGTCTTTTATTGTAGTATTTTATTTGACAAGTATATTCTACTATTTACTCGCTATTACCCCTTTAAATTCATCATTCAGACTGTATAAATTGCTTTGTCACCTTAAGCGTTATAAATGCTAAAAAATGAGTTGGAATCGTAGTTAAAGAAAAAGTTAACATTCATTCCAATATCAGATTTCTTCTATGGTTGACATGTTTTAAAAATTTTGGATCTTTTTTATCTATTCAATCTTATCTCAGTAGAGTTTATGCGGGTTTTTTTTTTCATTCTAATCGAGAGTATTTCAATTATACATTCTATTATTAGAAGCATTCACGCGTCATAAACAAAAATCTGTCGTGCAAAGCTATTTTAGCCCTTCCTCCCTCTCTTTTAGTAACAGATTGTCCCAATATGAAGGCGTTGACAAACATACAGCTAAAATTTGCATTTTGGCATCATGTGCGGGTATTTTCAACAAGTCATTACTCAATATAATACAGAAAAGATATAAATAGTTGGTAAGCACGCGCCCAACAGCCTACAAAAAAAATCTATAGTATATAAGCACGCACTTTTGACGCGATGTTTTAACACCTGGAAAATAACAAGCAAGGAAACAAGAGATCATTCAACGTTTCCTCCTTAAATTATTCCAAAATAGGCTATAATAAACTCACCTTTTAAGTATATCACGCCTTCTGTTTTCTTTGTTTGTTCTGGATGGATTTTTTAATAATTTGATCATTTCGTCTTTTTTTTTGAAATATTTTATTAAAATGTCGCGAAGCGTAAAAACATTTAGTCTACGAAAAGACGACGAGTCTCTATCTATTGAAATTTCACTCTTCTTTTTTTTTGGGAATAAGCATCAAAGCTTTTATTGATACAATGTAAAAGGTCGTATATAATAATTGGTATAAAAAGGGGTCAGTTTATCTATTTACCAAAGAGTTCGCTTAGTAAATTCAACACAATCTGTCAACTAAAATGTGAGAAGTCTTTCAATATTCCTATTTCGTAAAGATGCCAGAAGGGAGAAAAGACAATACTTGTATTCCTTTCTTCAATAAATAAATACTAGAGCATAAAGAAATAGTTAAAAGAAGCATAAAAGGATATACTTTAAAGAATTAAACTCATACCTTTAAGCTTTGAAATTCGATAGTTTTATGTAAAGATGCTTACTTTACTACCTATACCTATAGTGAAATAATCCAATGAAACCATTAAGAAATCAGTAAACAAAACTAATTAGAATAAGAATAGTATCAAATTATTTCTCAATATAAAAAAAGCATGCTGATAGAGGAGAGAGCGTAGAAAGACAGAGAGAGAGAGAGAGAGATTTAATAGAATTCGTTTAAATAAATAACTTTTTATGTAAATACTATTTCACCTGTTAAAGTTTATTGTTTCTCCGGTAAAGGTTTGTCTTAAATTATTGAATATCAATAATTGTCGTTAGTAAAGTTTTAATATAAAATCGATTTTGACATAGAATACCATCCATTCCAATTGAGTCATATAATACCTTTTCATTTTGTCTAACATCTATAAGATCCTGTATTAAATACGTAGCTACTATCGAAAGCTGGTAATAGTTTACTTAAGGTATTACTATAAAACTAACACTGTTTAAGTATAGTGGGAGGAGGTAATTTCAATGTAACAATGACTACTCTACAAATATCCCTATCTTAATACGGCTTTTAGCCTGTAATCTAATATCGTAATACAATAGATGTAGAAGTTTAAACGAAGCTTTCATATTTTTTAACAAGTATAAAGAAAAATAAAAAAATGTTAGAATTGTGAATCTCTTTGAAACTTTGACTTTCAACCCTTTAAAAATCAGCCCGCACATCGTAAAAAGAAACCTTTTTTAGCGTAACATTTTCGCAAGGTCGTAAAAAATTTTTCCGCCATTAGATCTCACGTAATAGTTCTTTGTCTGGAATTGTTTACGGTTAACGCCTCCAAGCAAGGCGTCTCTTTTCAAGTTTGTTTGATCTCTGCTATTTGGAAGTAGGCGTTTCGTTTCCCGCCGTATAAGTGTAAAGGAAAGAAATAATGAAAAAGAAAGCACAAGAAAGTTGGCGGGAAGTCGTTAAAATCACCTGAACTTTAACGATACACGTTGATTGACGCTTAGATGCGAATAATCGATAAGATTTTCAGACTGAGATAAACAAGGTTTCGTGCCCAGGTTGGAAATTAGTCAATGTTACGTAATTAGTTCACAGTTCCATTCTGAAAAGGGTTGCGTCGCCGTCGGTCATTTTCTGACCATGTTTATCTTTCTTTCAAGACAACTTATAATGGGCTCGTTGTTACTATTAATAAAGAAAATTCTCTTTTCTATTATTAATATATGTCAGTTTAGTAATAGCCTAAGGATATCAAGTTAATTAGGTCATTCATAATCAAATTTAACTACTACTTATTCTATTATGTTCTCAATTCCGTATGTTAAACGAAAAGCAACTTTTCCCTTTAGTATAATTGGAATGTTACTACGCGTTCTCCTTTAGCGATACTCTGAAATAATAAATATAACAATAAATAAAATGGTAAATTCTCGAATAAATGACAAACTAAGTATTGTAATACAATAAATACGATAAAATTATATTCGATCCTTCGAACGTGCCTTATGTAAATAATCAAAAGCGACGACAAACCGGGCCGGTATTTGCTAACTATAACAAACTTAATAAAGCCTAATCGACCCTTTCCGCCTTGCATAACACGCGCTTTTTGTGATTTGTTTCAATAATTTCCTACAGTTTTCTTTTTCTTTGTTACAGCAACGACACTCCGAACGGTCACACCAGTCAAAGAAAAGCACCGAGGTGGGTGGTCATTACTTTCTCTTGACGCCTTTTTTCTCTAATTAAGCTCGATAACAATAGCAAGCAACAAATTTTCTCAGCGTTTCTCCATCGAGCATACGCTTCAAAAAAAGTCTCATGCAGTTCAATCATTCAAAAATTTTTTTTCTCCTATTCAAAAATGATTCTTTCCGCAAGATTGAATTTTACCTAATCCCTTGCCTAGTTTTTCAAGTATATTCACAATCGTTCTCTTCCACAAACTTACTGAGACAAAGATTTGGCGTATTGAATATATTTTGAACTGTTGTTATCCGGTCAATCATTAAATTCTTCAACTGCGAAAGTTTTATGAAGCAATCAATGGGCCTACTTGAGATTATATGCTTCAAGGACTTTAAATGACTTTTCAGTCCCTAAAGAATTGTCAGGGGACATGTACGCATTTAAAATTGAAATTCAAGACATTCAAAAATCCTGTAAATTTTCCTTTTTGTAGGCTTGAGTAGTTTCTTTTAGAACGTGTACTTCCGTTTCTTTTTCCAAAAACGAGAGGAGTGGAGGAATATAGAAAGAACTTTAACGGTTAAAGAGAGAAATTCTAAGCTCTCTTCCTTAAGTTTGTAGTTAAAAGAATTTTTCATCGAGTACCTAATAATTGAAAGGCTTACATAGGCTTTGTTTCATTGTTTCATTCAAAAAACTAAGAATGGAAACGTTACTAAGAGAGTTTTAAAGCTCCAATGCTAGAATTATAGATCAAGTGCAAATTGCCTTTCCTAAATCTGATTAATCCTTAAATTATTATTATTCAAATATTCAAGTATATCTATTCAACAGCTCGAAAACCATCTGCTACATAAACTGGCAAGACCTGATTTGGATACAGATAGTTCTTTTTCCGATAGCGGTCGAGGTGGTAGCGAAGAAGGTGAAGAAATTCGTCATCCTCATTCAACATTTCTACCAAAGCCTCCTCCTCCTCCTCACCAAAAATATAACTGTATCGGTACAGTGCTATCTGATTTACCTAGGAATTTATCTAGAGAAGATTCTAGCGTTCGAGACGACGCAACTTCAACAACTAGCGGAAGTTATACAGTTGACCCGGATGAGTTGCAGCAACACATCGAAAATGTCTTTTTCAAAGAGGTTGCCGTATAATTAAGAGACACGCTCTTCCTCTTTTTAGCGTTCTTTTGACGCGTTCAGACTGCGCTATTTTACAGACAGAAAAAAAGAAATTTCTATGTTCATTTAATAATTTTTTATTCAATTTTTTTATCAATTGTCCTTAAAGATACTGATATATAATTTTTGCATAAAATTATTATGTGTATATATACATATTTACTGTATATATACTGTATTATTTAATGTTTTAAAGTCGTTAATGGCTGTTCTCGTCTAGGAAAAGGTTTAAATTATCAAAACATGACGTTAACAGCACTTTTTTTTACAAATGTAAATTGATATGTTTTTAATAAAGAAATTGTTTTCTTTTTAATGAATTAAGTATAAAGAAAAAAATAAATAGAAACTCGTGTTTACTTTTATAACGGTTCTATTCGCGTGTGTCGTCGAAGAAAGGAACGACGTCGTTGAAAAGAGGAACGCGTTCAAACTTGATTCTTACCGAAGCGTAAATACTCTTCAAAGCGTCCTTATCCAGGATATAGCCTTCCCTTTTTTCTTCCTTACCATTCGATATTTCTTTTCATTAGTAAGCTATGTATTAATGATGAAAAGTTGCCATGGACAGTACTTTTCAAACACTTGCCAGGGACACGACTCATGGAATTAATTAAGGGATTAGTGATAAAAAAGGAGGTAGGGCGACTGGTAAAAGGAGGAATTATTTTATAATTTTTTTTATTAAAAAAACTTTTGGGAATTAATATCTCATAAATCTCTAATTCACCTGGTATTTAATCCGCTTAGTAAAATTTTACGGTCATACCAAATCATAAAGAAACTCTATTGCCATCTAAATTGATTATTCATGAATAAATTAAAAATAATAATTCCTGTTGAAAAAAAACAACTTTTTGTTATATTTGTTTAGACACGGGTTATAAATATTCCATTGTTACAAATTATGACGTAATCAATAATTTAGAAGCGCGCGCAAGAGCAAAAACAAAAAAAATATGTATACAGAAACAGAACTTTCAATACTTTGATAAAGTCATTATAAAATTTAAATAGAAATGAAAAAATAAGAGAGAAAGGGTTAGAGGGGGTTACCGGATTAACGCCTTACTGACTTCAAAGAAAAAAATAGTCCATAAATCACACTTGGCTTCATTTTTAGACTATGCAAACAAGCTTTTATACAAAAAAAAAGTTATTCTAACGGATTTAATTCTGTAATTTATGTTTCCCGTCTTTGAACACTTATTATTTTTGCACTTAGAGTGATGTAAGTAGTAAATTCTTTATTCATTTTCTCACTTATTTTCTCAGAAAACACTTTGGTTTTCATTTCGGTTTTATTTTTACTGTATTCTCTTAAATACAATTAATATTACCTGTTTTCTCACATAATAGACTCTTTTGTAAAATAATCATGCTCTTTAATTTTACTTTTCTTTTACTCAGGCTTATATAAGTATCCTTATAAATGCAACATATAGAATATACAATATATTGTAGGTCGTTTGATATATGTAGATATTACTTTGCTTTTATGTCCTTATTACATACATAATATTATTTACCATTCATTACTTTTTACCTTAAAAAAATTATAAAAGAAATGTTTCCTTTTCATGTATTTTCTTATTGAAGGATTCTTTTCATCTATCCATCCTAAGCGATATTGGATCATTTTTCACTGCCGTTATCCGGTGACGTCATTTCGTTGAGGGTGTACACTATGAAATGCTAGAGGTTTTTCATCTTCATTTATTGACAGAGCAAACAATTAATCTCAATGAATTTATATAAGATATTCACCTAATCTTTAGTTAAGGTTTCTTCAAATTTCCGTCTGTATATATTTACAAAATAACAGGCCTATACGTTTTTGGTACTTATTGTAAAGTTTCCTACTATCAATGGAAATTGAAATCGGAAATCTGGGAGATTGCTTAAGAGTTAACTTCTATCAGGAATATTCACTTTTTTTTCTATTTAGAACCTCAGACGAAGGGTATTAATCCTTTTAAAAGATTCTCTTTATTTTTAGATCTATGATTATAGTAAAAGAGATTCATTACTGTTTTTTAATTCACAATTTTCTTAAAGATAGCCAAAGTAGACAGATCACACCAATCATCATATTTCAATCTCTATTTATACAAAAAGGTATAAAAATTTAAAGGCCTTCTTTTACTTTTTAATCCGTAGTTAAGATTTCTTTAGCCTTTTCTTACGATCCAAAAATACACAGAGGCAACATTCTGTAACGAAAGTATTTTTCAATTTCGTTTGTTTACACCTCAAACACACATCAAACGATATTCTTTTTTGTAAAAAATACGTCTCGAGACTTATTTCGCACCTATAATGTTTCTCTTTTACAGGATTCACTATCTATTCTCCAGTATTTAATCATTCTACTCTTCTTTTTTTTTCTTTACCCTCTCTCCTCTCTTCTCCCTCTCTTTCTTGTTTTCACTCCTCTCTATTAAGTTTCTTTTTACTGTTGCCATCATCAAATTGTCACATACAGTAAAGCACACTACCAATTAAAAACTAGTCATATTCTTTGTTATGTGTTTCCTATCTTGGGAAAACTTTCAGGGCTTAATGATAGAATAACTTAATTCTATTGATAAGTGTAAAAAAAAGGAAAAAAGCTTAATAGCTATGTGTGAGGCAAGAAGATTTCTCATTATCGCTATGTACCGAGTAAACAGGACATATTTAAAGTTACGCACCGTAGAGAAAAACTACAGGAAATTATTTCCTTAACAAATAATACATTTTTTTGAGCTGCCATATTCATGGCATCTAATGGGGGATTTGCGCTCTATTTACGTTCAAAATAACCCCGAAATGTTGGCGTAATTCGTAAAAATTGAATTAATTTATCTCCATTCTCTCTTTTCCTTTCTACTCTCATTTAAATTCCCTCATAATAAAAGATATTAGTAAAACCGGATTCAATCATGTTGTCAACGCTCCTTATTGAACAGAAATTATGAATAATGTATAAAAGGAGCTCATTAATCACAAAACATTCCGTTCGATGCGTTCATTTACGCAACGCTGGCGGCCGTGAAAATCAATCAGCTCTCTTTCTTGAACATTTTTCTGCCCAGGGCAGAGTCGATATTTTTGGCACTTTTTTTTTTATTTGATTCATTTACCGCAAATGTTTTGCAGTATAAAAACCAGATTTTTTCATTCTTCGCCACTCAACCTTTTCCTGGCCTTTTGCATTTTTTCTCTGCAAGAATGAAACCTGATAATGCGTTTAATGATACTAATTTATCCGCAGTAAACTAATCTAATACGACTTATTGTAGCCTACAAAAGCATTAGGATAAGATATTATTAAAATAACGTAAGTTTCTAATAAACTCAGTGCTCTTCAACAATGAATTTTAATAATTATGTAAATATTATTATTTATGAATATTTAAATATATTCATGAAGTAAAGTCCGACAGTGAAATTTACGGTTGGGAAGCAAATTCAATAATTGCTTTATTGTGCGTATAGCAAAAGGATCTAAAAATGAAAGGAGAAGCATCGATATCTTTTTCTTTATAAATTTCTGCTCGTGGCAAAGTTTTTTGTTGGCAATTTTTTGTGCATTACGTTAAGGATAAAACAGCACATTATTTTCAATGAAACTGTCCGGGAAAAACAATATTTACATACCTACTCATCTTTCAAAAAACACAAGCGAAAATCGATTAATGATCCTTCCTCCCTCCGATTCTTGTATATATAAGTATTAATACATATACTATATACTCTATATTAAATATCCTTTTCGGATTAGATAGTTTCATTTTATATGGAATGATGTATTTGTCTAATTAATAAAAAAACTATCCACTTAATGAATCTATTGTCCCTTTTTTCATACGGTATACCACATTCTAATCACTGGCGAGCGTTTTCTATGTAATTACGTTAACAATTTTAATCATTTCTTTCTTTTAGGCTCTCTTGTGAAGTATAAGAGTTTACCTTTAGGTAAAATATAGAGAGAATCATAATTTTAGAAGTTGAATAGGGGATATAATCTTATCCTTTCATTTTAGGAAATAATAGCTTTACTGTTATTTGAGGTTTTATCATGTTATTGTATATTTCTACCACTATCTCATCTCCTTAATCTTTGACTGTATAGAATATATATCTTTCTTTCTTTTTTCCTCTCTTCCCTTAACTCCTCTTTTAATTATAGCCTTCTCTATCCCCTCCCAATTTCTTGCCTCAATTTCAAACTTACGATAATGTTCACGTGCAGCCGGAAGCGATTTATCAACGTATTATGTCAGCTACCAATTAATCAACTCCATCTGTTATTTTTAAAAGAGTTTTTTCTTTCGTTTAAAGCACTTTGTATAAAACTTTAATAGTCGATTGATAAAGAAAATAAAAGTGATATCTAAATATAAATAAACAGATAACAAATCTCTTAGGAAAGACTTTAGAAAGAATATAATAAGAACGTTACGCCAACAATATATTTTAAATAAAAAGGGAATGCAACAGTTAAAGAAGATTCCTCATCGTGACCAACTTTCGCATGACGAAGGACTTCAAACGAGCCGTCATCGGTAGTTTTAGGCGATTAGGCGAGGATTAACTAGTGCTAATTAGCTTTGTTTGATATGATGTTCCTAGGCAGGCGGAAAAATTGATTAGGTATACACATAGGACTATTGAACGTTTTATATACATTTTCCATTGGCGTTACGCTTTTTTATTTATGTATTTGTTTATATATCAGGAAGGTTCGATAAGAGAGGCAATGATCAAGTCGATATCAGTGATCGTTTGTTGGTTATTATTGATGACTTTTTGTTTTGCTTGTAGCAGGTAAATAGGGAATTTTGTTTGTTTTAAGCTGGGTGGTTTGTTTGCTCTTTTTTGTCTAGCTATAATTTGCGAACGTCTTTGATGTATTTTCAAGTGAATATCTTAGAAATTGTTATATTATATTCGTCGATGAGTTCGTGACTCTTTCTAGGCTATTTTCCTCTTTTCTATAGATTTTGATTTATACAACTTATGAGCTTTTTTCACCTTTTTCTTTCCTTTCTTTCTTCCTGTTTTCTTCTATTTTCTTTGTAGTTTGTTTTCCACCATTTTTGTTTTTGTTTTAGGCTTATTGCTTATTTACCTCTTATTTTTTTACAGATCTTTATTATTTGAACAAATGCAGAGAGTTTTGATTTTATCAATAGATCTTTACAGATAATAATTTATTATTAATAATAAACTAAGCTTTTTTATGTAAATTCAATATATTATTTTAATGCAAGAATGGGGACAAAAAGAGGAATAAAAGGGTGCATACCCTTAAGGTATCATAGATATAA